GCGCAACTGAAAACCTTAGAACAGAGAGAAGCGAATTCACCCCGCAGGAGCAGACGCCAGGAAATAATCAACTTGAGGGCCGAAATCAACAAAATAGAAACCAGGAAAACAATACAAAAAATCAATGCAACAAAGAGTTGGTTTTTTGAGAAAATCAACAAGATTGATAAACCTTTATCCAAATTAACGAAAAAGCAGAGACAGAACATGCAAATTAACAAAATCAGAAACGAAATGGGGAACATAACAACAGACACAGAGGAAATCCAGACAATTTTCAGGTCATACTTCGAAAATCTGTATTCCACAAAAATTGAAAATTCAAAGGAAATGGACAAGTTTCTGGATAACTATCACTTACCAAAATTAAATCAAGAACAGACAAACAACTTAAATAGACCTATAACCCGAAATGAAATAGAAGCAGTCATCGAAAGCCTTCCAACGAAAAAAAGTCCAGGGCCAGATGGATTCAGTGCAGAATTCTACCAGACATTCAAGGAAGAACTAATACCACTACTCCTCAAACTGTTCCACAAGATAGAAACAGAAGGTTTATTGCCAATCTCTTTTTATGAGGCCACAATAACTTTGGTACCCAAACCTCACAAAGACACAACTAAGAAAGAAAACTACAGACCAATATCCCTGATGAACATCGATGCAAAAATACTCAATAAAATAATGGCAAACCGAATTCAAAAATACATCAGAGAAATCATCCACCATGATCAAGTAGGCTTCATACCTGGATTGCAGGGATGGTTTAACATACGAAAATCTATCAACGTGATCCACCATATAAACAAACTGAAAAAGAAAAACCATATGATTATCTCCCTAGATGCAGAAAAAGCCTTCGATAAAATTCAACACCCTTTCATGATAAAGGTATTAGAGAGGTCAGGGATAACAGGAACATACCTAAACATAATAAGAGCAATATACAGCAAACCAACTGCCAACATCAAACTGAATGGAGAGAAACTTAAGCCAATTCCTCTAAAATCAGGAACAAGACAAGGCTGCCCTCTCTCTCCATATCTCTTCAATATCGTACTAGAAGTTCTAGCTAATGCTATAAGACAACAAAAGGAGATCAAGGGCATCCAAATTGGAAAGGAAGAAGTCAAACTGTCTCTATTTGCAGATGATATGATAGTTTACATAAGCGACCCAATAAACTCTACCAGGGAACTCCTACAGCTGATAAACACCTTCAGCAAACTAGCAGGATACAAGATAAACTCAAAAAAATCAGTAGCCCTATTTTTTTCAGACGACAAAGAGGCAGAGAAAGAAATCAGAGAAACATCACCCTTTACAATAGCCACAAGCAACATAAAGTATCTTGGTGTAACGCTTACCAAACAAGTACAAGATCTATATAATAAGAACTTTGTGACTCTAAAGAAAGAAATTAAAGAAGATACCAGAAAATGGAAAGACCTCCCATGCTCTTGGATAGGTAGGATAAACATAGTAAAAATGGCAATCTTACCAAAAGCAATCTACAGATTCAATGCAATCCCCATTAAAATCCCACCACAATTCTTCACCGACCTTGAAAGGATAATAATCAACTTTATATGGAAAAACAAAAGACCCAGGATAGCCAAAACAACCCTATACAATAAAAGAACATCAGGAGGCATCACCATTCCTGACTTTAAGCTCTACTACAGAGCTATAGTTCTGAAAACAGCCTGGTATTGGCATAAAAATAGACAGGTAGACCAATGGAATCGAATTGAAAATCCTGATATTAATCCACGCACCTATGAACACCTGATTTTCGACAAAACAGCTAAAATTATACAATGGGGCAAAGACAGCATCTTCAACAAATGGTGCTGGCACAATTGGATGAGGGTGTGTAGAAGACTGCAGATAGACCCATGTCTATCGCCATGCACAAAACTCAAGTCCAAATGGATCAAAGACCTTAACATCAATCCAGCCACATTGAACCTCTTAGAAGAGAAAGTAGGAGGTACCCTTGAACAAATTGGTATAGGAGACCGCTTCTTGAACATAACTCCAGGGGCACAGACACTGAAAGAAACAATTAATAAATGGGACCTCTTCAAACTTAGAAGCTTCTGTAAGGCAAAGGACACAGTTGACAAGACCAAACGGCAGCCCACTGACTGGGAAAAGATTTTCACTAATCCTATATCCGACAAAGGGCTGATCTCCAAAATATACAAAGAACTCAAGAAACTAGTCAACAAAACACCAAATAACCCTATTAAAAAATGGGGTACAGAACTGAAGAAAGAATTCTCAATGGAGGAAATCAAAAAGGCTGAAAGACACTTAAGAAAATGCTCCACATCCTTAGCTATCAGGGAAATGCAAATCAAAACAACTTTGAGATACCATCTTACCCCTGCCAGAATGGCTAAAATTAGAAACACCAGTGATGACTTATGTTGGAGAGGATGTGGAGAAAGTGGAACACTCCTCCACTGCTGGTGGGAGTGCAAACTCATACAGCCACTTTGGAGATCAGTATGGCGGTTCCTCAGGAAAATGGGAATTAGTTTACCACAGGACCCGGCAATCCCCCTCTTAGGCATATACCCAAAGGATTCACATCAATGCAACAAAGACATCTGTTCAACTATGTTCATAGCAGCACTATTTGTAATAGCAAGAACCTGGAAGCAACCTAGATGCCCTTCAATTGAGGAATGGTTAATGAAGATGTGGCACATCTACACAATGGAATACTACTCTGCAGAAAAAAATAATGGTATCTTGAAATTCGCAGGCAAGTGGATGGCACTTGAAGAAACCATCCTGAATGAGGTAACCCAGTCACAAAAAGAGGAACACAGTATGTACTCACTCATATATGGATTTTAGACCTAGATCAAATGATCACCAGCCTATAATTCACATCACCAGAGGAACTAGGATACAAGTTGTATTCTAAGAGATTCATATAAAGTCCCTCACAGAACTGGGAAGGGACAAGTCCCCCAGACCTCAGGTATAGTGGGGGAGGACAGCTAATGGAGAGAGAAGTAGGAGAAAATGAGAGGGAGGAGAGGAAGGCATGTGCGACCAGGAGGATTGAGCCTGGTTAGGAATGGAAAATAGGAAAGAGAGAGAGAGACAGAGACAGAGAGAGAGAACATAAAAGAGGGAGCCAATATTGGTTTGAAGATAAAGTTGAACACAAAGAAAGGTCGAGGGAACTACAAGACTGCTCCCAACTAACAATCTCAGCTTCCGTGGAAAGGCTATCATAAATGCCCTTCCCGGAGAGTGAGATCAACAACTAACTTCTCCATGGAGTCCTCAACTAATGCCTGTTGAAAACAGGAGCAAACACCCATACATAAACACTGAGTCAAACTAGAACCCAGAAGCAGATGGAGAGGACAAGACCATGCGGTAGAAGTACATAGAGACAGCTTACCTGAACAAGGAGGAGCTAAGGGCCACTAGACTGATAGCTGGGAAGCCAACAGGGGTCTGACTCGGACCCCCTGAATATGGGTCTCAGCCAGAAGGTCTGAGCAGTCTAAGAGACCTCAGACAGTGGAGCCAGGATGTATCCCTGGTGCACAAAAGGACTTTGCAAACATATCCCCCATGGAGGGATAACTGCCTTATTCTAGAGATAGGAGAGAAGCCCTAGTCCCTACTTCACAGGACCTGTCAGATCTACATGACCCCAACTGGATGGCATTCTCCTACATATTGTATTGTGGTGGGGGGTTGGGAGGGGAGGGTGTTTAGAGTGCATGGGAGAGGGTAGAGAGGGCAAAAGGGAGGGAAGGAGGGAGGGAGGGCTTGGGGGGAGGGAGGGAGGGAAGGAGAGGGAACTGGGATCGACATGTAAAATAATAATAAAAAAAAAAAAAAAAAACGCTTTGACTCCAAAATTTAAGTTGAAGAACAAGTTACTGGGGAAAAGTATTTCTATTTTTGTTTCCACAGAAAATGAAAAGATGTGGATTCCTTCCAGACTAATGTGGTTTGATCACACCAGACCGCCTGAAACAGAGTACAAGCTGATCCAAAAAAAAAAAAAAGAGGGGAAAAAAAAAAAACAAACAAAAGAGGAAGTATATATTTTTTTTTTATAAAACCCAAAAGAGAGGGCCCAAAAAAAGGGGGAGAGTTAGGAGGAAAAAGAGGAACAAATTTAAAAATTTTTTTTATTTATTTTTTTTTTTTTTTTTTTAGTTTTTTTTTTTTTTATTTTTTTTAAAAATATTTTTTTTTATAAAAAAAAAAAAAAAAGAAAGAAAATGATGCAGGCCCAGGTAACTTGTGACTTTTTTTGTTCTCTAAAAGATTTGTAGAGGAATATGAAAATCAGTTTAGGTAAACATAAAAACACAAATTGTAAATAGTACTGCCTGGAGAATTCTGAGCAGGGATATGATATTCATAGGATTCCAGATTATGTGGCTCATGTTGGATGTGATATGGTTTGCGTTGCTTTTCCTGGAGAATGTAAACAATCATCAGTTCATATAGGCATCAGTGACAAACCAAAGATAATATCCATCCATTTCTATGTGGTGAACCAGAGACCTTGTCAGACTTACGTATGGGAACATGTATAAGGCGTTACTTATGAGTATTGTGGGCCACCTAAAAGCACAAAGAGCCCCACTCGCAAGCTACACATGTAGACACCCCTTGCATTCTGCTAACCATTCACTCTCTTGTGAGGATCTCCCACATATAAATAGTCCTACTTTTATTTCATAATATTAACAGTCACAGGAAAAGCTCAGAGGAGAGCATTCCACAGCAATATCTAACTCCACAGGTCTCCAGGTTCTGCTAGTTGTCATTTTAAATCTGATGTCTGTGGCAGCCATGAAAAAATATTGTGAATAGATACATGACCTGATGGAGAGCAGCCACCTCCTCAAAGACTGTTAGTATTTCATGGCACCTTGGTTTGAGGCTCACATAGGTCTTTCATGGTTCTTTGGTTATGAGCTTTGGGTGTTTATGAGGTCAGGTTTATGAGGTCATGGTGGCAAAGCCAGTTTTCCTACCATTGTTTCTTTATTATAACTTGGGTAATTATGCACACGTGCAATATATTTTTGATCATATACATGTCATGAACCTTTTAGAATAAGTTTTGCTCTATCTTATAGTGCTGTTTGCTTTATGCCTCAGTTTTTTGTTTGAATATGTTATTGATGTTATATACACTGTTCTTTGTTGCTACTATCTGTGCTGTCTTCATTAGTTACTTGAATATTGGTACAGAGGATCATGGTATACTTAAAAACTCTGTACTATTCAGGAGTTAAGTTATGGTATATACCTATATTCCCAACACTCTGGAGACTGTGATGTGAGGTTTGGGACTTCAAAGCCAGCCTTAGTTACATGATGAGATTACTGAACAAAACCAATCAATCAACAACAACAGAAAGTGTCCAACAAAAATAAGACAAAAAGGTATGTGAGTTGTTTGGGATTCACCAAACAAAAAGTAAACACACTGACAAATATTTATTATTCATATACTTAGAAGCACCATACACTTTGATATTGGCAAACACATGTTCACTTGTGGACATATACACACATAGAGCAGATATTCCTATGTTAGTAGGAGACATCATGGCAACTATTACAGAAACCTCTTTGAAGGTTCCACTTTGTTGAATAAGTATATGAGTTGAAAATACTTTATGAGGATTTTTCTTCTCTACTAATAAAGCAATCACATATCTTCCTTTAAATTATTCCCACATCACCAAAGGAATATCCCTTGATTAACAGGATGGTGTTGTTACAGGAATCCTTGACTTTGAGTGATGTGGCTGTGGTATTCTCCTGGGAGGAGTGGCAGCTTCTGAACCATGCTCAGAAGGACCTGTACTGGGATGCCATGCTGGAGGTCTGCAGGAGTCTGGCATCAATGGGTAAGGGTCTTGAGGTATTTGGTGGACACCCAGCCAATATCTTTTCCTGTTTCTCAGTTTCTAAACATCTAAATTGTAGATTTTCAGACACTTTTATATCCATGGAAGGGGACAGTCTCTACTCTTCTGCAAGAGAAGAAGTCTGAAGTTACAGATGAGAATCCTGTTTAGTCTCTGAAACAGAACATTATGTTTTTTTTTTTTTTTTTTTTTTGGACATATTCTTGCTGTGATTCAAGACAACATTAAGGAGAAAGGGTTCATTTTGGCTTTCAATTCCAGAATGTTGCAGTCCATTTTAGTCTGCAGTCAGTGAAGGGGTTGGGTTGGAGTCAGCATTCCTGGTCACCTTATAATCCACACTCAGGATACAGAGGCCTCACAGGAAGTGGTAACAGATTATGAAGCTTCATTGTCAACCTCTGGTGATCTACTTTCTCTACTGAAGCTTTGCCTGCTAAAAGTTATTCCTGCCTTTCCCAAATATTATCGTCAGCTGGGATCCAGTATTCAAATCATGAGACAATGGGTTGCATTTCAGATTCAAACCACAGTACCAATCCATTTTGATTTATCTAAGTCTTCTGTCATTTTCCATGAACAGGATATCCATCCAGAAAATCAGATGTATGTTCCACACTGGACCCAGGAGAACCATGGACAATAGCAGATGAAGATGAAATCCACAGTCTAATCTGTCAAGGTGAGTGAGGGCCAGCAGAATCTTGTTCTGAATACACTGTGGGCATTAAAGCTACGGGTGGTCTTAACCTCTCTGCTGGTTTGAGGATATAGAGTGTACATTTCCATGTCTCTCCTTGACCATGTCAGAGCTCTTTTTCTAGTTGGAATGTGAAGGATACATATCCGTGTTTTCTCTTAGATCTCATTTGTACTCTATACACATCATAGTTTTGTTTTGTTATTTATATTCTTCCTAAGAATTGCAATTCATGTTTATCTACTTCACTGTGTCTCTGTCCATGTTCTCTTCCCCCTTGCTGTGAAATTCTTTTTTTTCCCTGGGCCCTGGGAAAAAGTACAGACACCACTGTGGTTCCATCACCTTCTTCTTGATATCAACAGCTGTCTGTTGTACTAGGGAATAATGATCAGTATTTAGACAGGTGTATGTTGTGTCCCTTGTAATTTCTTGGTCGTTTGCTGAGCATTTATGTCTCTTTAGCGTTATATATTTTAGTCAAAGTTTATTTTTATGATCACAGCACAACTTTATAAAGTTAGTTTTCTCTTTCCACCTTTACATCAGTTCTGATGATTGTCCAGATACATTGTTGGGTTTCAGTTACTTTTACCCACTATCTTGTTTTGAATAAGAATGTCCCCTATAGGCTCAGATAGTCAGTTGGTGTCACTATTTGGGGAAATTTAAAAGATGTTGCTATATTGAAGGAACTATGTCACTGGGGTCAGACTTCGAGAGTTTACAGCCTTAACCACTTTTAGCTGCCTTTCTCTGTTTCTAGGTTGTGTTTGAGGGTGTTAACTCTTAGTATCCTGCTCTTGCCTTTATGCTTTGTTGAACGATAAATAAAAGACTCAGAGACAGATATTGGGGTTCAAACTTCTTGCTGAAGATAACAAACACAAAGCTACTGTCCTCTAGCTTTTACCTCTAGCTCAGGCTGAACAGTGATTCTGGCTCCACCAAACCTCAGACTGCAACCCAGACTGCTATGCCATCCTCAAAATGGCTGGAAAATCCTGGGACTCAATTTCTTCTTTTCCTTCATGTGGCTGGAGAATGAATGCCAGCCCGTTCCTGTCTTAAATACCTCTCATGTGTCCTGGGATTCAAGTTGTGTGATCCCAAGTGCTAAGATCTTCTTTTTGTGAGCTGTTTCTCTTTTGGACTGGATCAATTTTGTGTAGTTCAGTGTTGCCTTGAACTAACAGAGATCCATCTACCTTTCAATCTTGAGTCCTGGGATTAAAGGTGCATGCCTGGCTTCTGTGGCTTGTGGCTGACTTTGTTTCCTGAATCCTTAAGATTTATTAAATCATATATAATATATCACTGAAATGCTTGCTACTGTCTCCCATACTTTCCTGCCGTGGTGGATTTTCATACCTCTTAACCATAATCTCAAATAAACTGCTTTCTTATAAATTATTTCAGACTATGGGGTTTCTTTTTCTTTTTAAAATTTGTATGTGTGTATTTTTGTGTTGTGGAATTTCTAACAATTCTTTCTAACGTCATATATCCAACAGTGACCTGTTGTATTCCTCACCTGTGAACCCTAAGTAAACCTTGCCATTGCAGGTGATGGTTACTAGACTGTCTATGGCACTGATAAATGTCACTATATATTAAAATATAAAATGTAGTTATGTTTCATTAATTGTGGTAAAGGAAATTGTATATTTACCTAACTTGAGTAATGAAGCATTTCATGCTATCCAAATTATGAAGTATAAAAGAAACATGTTCATTGTTCTCTATAATACCCGCTATATCTCCCCAGATACTCTGTTAATTTCCTGCTCTCTTTTCCATGTGTCTATCCCTACCAATGTCAGATATGCTTCTTGTCATATCATAAAACCACTAAGCCCTGCAAGCATCATGTTCTCTTTGTTATTTTCCTCAACCAATTATTCTCCCATAGCCTGTGGACATAACATCTTTTTTACTACTTTGGATCTAAGGAATCTCATTCTTTCTTCTGACTTCAGTGATGGCCCAAATTGATGGAGGTCTAGTACAGGACCACAAGTGAGAGACTCAAGTGGGTCTGTACATAACATATTATAGAGGTTGATAAATTCTTCAGGTGTGATCTTAATTACTTATTATCAATATAAACATGAGTCTGATATTGAAATAAATGCTATATGATGAGAAAAGCAGATCATCAGCCACATGATACTTAGGTGTCTGTTTTCTATGACAAAAATGGCTGAAATCCTATCTCTGCCTTGTCTAATATCTTCCTCGCTCCACCCAGCCTTATTGCTTACTGTCTTCTGTCTGCACAGTCATCCAGACCTCTATGGTTAAGAAGTGGCTAGGTCCACCATCTGATCTCCAGGCAAGGTTTATTTGTCAGGACACATAAGAAATATCACACAACAAATTCTGAGATCCTGTAAAGCTTTGCACTTCTCATGTTTGACTAATTCAACCTGTCCTTTGTGGTTGTGTTGCCTTCTGGATTAGACCCGAGTTCATTCCACTCCAAGACACTATTCACTTTCATAATTCTGAATGCATATGATCTACTCCTGTTCTCTATAAAAATATTATATATCTTCTACCTTAGGTATAGATTAGGTAGTAGAGAATGTGCCTAGCCAGGCAAGAATGTTTTATGCATAAATTATGATCCTGAATTTTTCTCTGTCTTTTTCTACTTGGGACATTTTGAGAATTATTCTTTGCTTGTAATAACTCCTACAGGTTTCTGTGTTCCTAACTTATTCTAAAGAATTACTAAGCACAAAGTGAGCTCCAAGTCATAGGCTTTAGTGTGTTGGAATTGATGTTGGTCTTGTGTAGATGGTATCTCTCTCATTTCTATGGTGGCCTAAATCCAGGAAAGCAAAGTGCTTTATAGAATAAAAATTTTCTATGTTTGCTTTTTATGCCTTTTCAATAAATGCTAAAGAGTGAATCCAGTGTTCCAATCAGTGTTTAGCAAGAGAAAGTGGCAATTTTTTTATGTGAAATTTTTGGATACATTTGATGTCATTTGTGATGAATGATTACATATATAAATTCCTTTAGGATAGGTCTCTGTTCAGACTTGTAGTTGTTGTGTAACTTACAAGTCTAACTTATGCAATTTTCACATAATTATGTGCAGATTATTTGCATTGAGTTCAATAGAACTCAATAGAAAGGATTATGATGTCACTCTTTCTCTTCCACTTGTACTTCAGTAAAATTTCCAGAACTCATGATTAAATTTGATCAGTGGGGTGTTCTGAAAGAGAGCAGCACTAGGATTCAAAAGTTAATAATTAACTTGATTTGTTTAGGAGGTCACACAGAAGACTAGCCACATCCAAAGAGACAAATAAATCTTACAGGACTTTCTTACATGAGATTTTGGTACTCTCTGGACCTTCCATCCTACTCAGCCATCAGGGATCAGGATAATGTATAAACCTCTGTAAATACACTTTCCCATTGGATAAACTTACAAAGAACTCATCAGTGTATTTGGCAATAATCAACTGTAAAATTCCAGAAAAGTTCTTGGTTCCCCAAGGTAGCTCTGTCATCATTACTGCAGATGAGATAAAGTTGAATTCCTGAAGGGAGTTGAAGTCATAGATAAATGTATCTTTATCTTAGGGATGGACTGCCTTTTTCATCCATAGTATTGGTTGTCATGTCAGTAGCTTCATATTGAGCTGAAAGTTTTTCAGTGGAAAGATTTGGGTGAGAATAATGTTTTTCATTCCCAAAGGCAACTAAAGCAAGGAATGGATCTATGGTAAGTGTATACCTCTTAAAATTTATTTTTTGTTTAAACAGAAATATATAAATTTAGTCAAGGGGTAGGGAGGCTTTTTGAGATTTAAGCCACTTAGTAAGTAGTAAATAGTGTCCTTGAATTTATACTAATTCTTGATGAAGCAAAAGTGTAACTAAATCCTCTCTCAGGGTGCCTGTTGAAAACTGAGAAACCTAATGAAATCAGATTTGGAAGTTGCTTTGGGATTATGTTAATTACATCAGTTAGGTTTCCAGTTATTGTTCACATGAATTACATTAATTTTGCAACATGATAATCATAAATTTTGGAAAATGACTTGGTGTTTATAAATAGACACGAGGAATAGAACTATTAAAATATTTTCTCCAAGTGCCTGGGAAAATGTTTCTAGACAATACTACATCTGTGATTGGACAGAACATTTGTCTTCCTTAACATTCAGTATTTTTTCATCTTCAACTTGGGAAAACTGTGTTAAAGTGAAGATGGCAATGTCAGTTTGAGTCTTGCAAAACTCTAGCACACATACAGTTTTTCCATTTTTTTCCCTGTATTCCCAATTATCACTATGTTTTGAGGTCATTACAATCTCTGGATGGGATTTAATTACTTAGGTTTCCAGAATTTAGAGCCTCATACTTGTCAGACAAGAGTTTAAATTTGGCTTTCTTCCATAGGCCACACCATATTTACTCCTTGGTCTTCTATTCATGCAATTCTTATGATTTCATATCATACAAATTTTAAAGTGATATTTTTAATTGATAAGTTGTTTTTATATCTTGATTTATTACTAATAGCTTGAATTGACCAAGGCATTAGTAAATAAAGCTTTTATATGGAAATGAGTTATAACTTAAGATCTTGCTGTGTGTACATGTCCCTGCATCTGTGTGAAGGACCTTGCATTCAGGGGTATATGGACATATGTGAGAGACTGGAATCAAAGAAAAACTCAGACATTTTTAAATCTTGTTTTTATGGAGTGGGACATGTCCTCTCACACATCTGACATTCTCAGGAAATATTATACTTTCTTGTAAGCCTGACACAGAGATCTGTTTCTAACTGACTCTGCCACTTCCTTAATATTTGATTTATAACTGTGTGCTTCAGCCTCCATGTCTTTATGTGAATTTTGGAGATTGAAGTTGGGTCCTCATTTTGTCAGTAAGAACTGTAATAGCTTAACTATCTTCACTGGCAACTCATGCTCATAGAATGAAGATGAAATCTTGGATATTTCCTATCTTCTTTGCATTGTCCTTTCTTCCCTACAGTTACTGGTAGTTCTGTTCCTTACCTTTAATTCTCAAATACAGGTTGCATTCCATAGCTGAATATCATCTTCAAGGTGTCTACAACATGTTGACATCTCTTGTGTTAAAACGTATGTCTGTGAATTGTGTATTGTGTATTTTTATATAGTCACAGATTATAAATGAAAGTCACCTTATTAAGTCAAACATAGATCAAGAAAGTGAATATTGACTTGATGTGTCAACCTAGACATCCCTGGACTGAGGCAGGATGATTGTTGCACATTTCTGGACAGCTTCCATTACTGAAGAAGATCCTGTCTGAAAATACATGCACCTAATAGAAAAAGATTTTATAAAGTAGCTTCCTTTGGATTTATGTCATTGCATCAATACTAGAATTCTATTGGCAGATTATTGGCAGGAGTGGAAATTACTAGAGGTAGGTTCATGTGTCTGCTAAGCATTGAAAGACCAGAATACTGCTTCCATGTATTGATCTTTGCATAATTTGAATATTAGAGCAAGATCTCTTAAAATTTCAAAATGTATTTCACTGCATTTGAGTGCTGGAATGCACTCCTAATTTCATTTGAATTGCTGCCTAGGATGACATTGCTTTAGCATCAATCAATCACATCATTGCTATTGTACAGGTTTGTTTTTCTTTGCTTTTAATTCATTCATTGGATTGAGTTCCGAGCATTATCTATGAAGATTCATCTGGTCCATAAAAGCTAGGTTGATTACACAAAGGTGTACACCTGTTCTGCATAATCACAGCCTCTCATCTGGGAAGCTGTTTAAAGTAATGTGAACATTATAGCCAGGATTCTTATTTCAACACATGCTTATTGAGTGCTACTATTTCTTATGACTCATGTTTCTCATTTCTCATGCTGAGTGATCAACCAGATAAGGGATCAGATAGGAACATTGAGCATTCTTCCAGGATGTATTATTCACAAATTATTGCCTTTTTCTATCTAATTTGTATTTGTACCATTCACCTGTTCTCTTTCCACTATGTTAGATAACAATTCTTTATGCAGACTGTGTCAGTCCTCTCTGCTTTCATTTAAACTCTACACCACCATTCTTACATATGTATGTGTAGGGGATGGAATTTAAGAACTTGTGTTAATGTAACATTATCTACTTCATCATTTTCACCTAATCAAATTGAGTTTCATTTTGTACTCTCTGGTCATTGCTTCTTCCAGGATATCTTTGCTCTATACTTAGTGCTGACTTTTGTGAGAAATATAATGGCAACTTGCAACATAAATACCTGCATTTGAAGACTTCAGCAGATATTATTGACTATTGGATTTGGTGTTAAAATAACTGTGACAGGCAGTGTGGAAAGGAACTATTTGTGCTAACCACCTTGGATTATCAGCTAATACGATTTTTCTTTTCTTTTTTGCATTTGTGACATCAGGTTAACAGGAACATCTTAGCAATACAAATTCAAAATTATTCAATAAGTACTGACTGCCATCCTATTTTGAAGAAAGTTTTGCTCAGTAACAAAATGGACCCCAGGAATTTAGGTATAGGAATAATATTGTTTATACAGAATACAGTTGGAATTCTGGGAAATGTCTTTCTTCTGTCCTACTACCTATTTATTTATTACAAGAAACACAAAGTAAAGCCCTTGGATTTAATTCTCATGCATCTGGTCATGATTAACTTCTTGATCATTCTCTCTAAAGGAATGAGCAACACAAGGACAGCCTTTGGGTTGAAAAACATCTTCAACGATTGGAGCTACCAACTTTTTATGTATATGCTAAGAGTTTTCCGGAGCATGTCCATTGATACCACCTGTCTCTTGAGTCTCTACTCAGTTATCATCATCAGCCCTAGAAACTCCTGTTGGAAGAATCTTAGAGCCAAATCTCTCAGGGACATTGGTCTATACATTTCTCTCTGCTGGGTCTTGAACATCATGGTAAATGTTGTTTTCCCCTTATACATGTCCATAAAATCAAAGAGGAAAAACATAACAAAAGAGACAGAGTTTGAACTGTATACTGTTGTAGGTCATGACAAAATCACAGTCTCCTTATATGTAGCATTCTTTGTGTATCCTGAACTTCTATTTTCTGTCCTGATCATCTGGTCCAGCATCTCAATGACTGTCTTTTTGTATAGGCACAAACAGCGAGTTCAACATATTCGCAGCACTTGTGCTTTCCACAGTAACTCCCCTGAATCCAGAGCCACCCAGAACATCCTTGTCCTTGTGTTTACCTTTCTGGCTTTTTATACACTCTCTACCATCTCACATGGTTACAATGCTCTGTTGTCTGGTGACAATTGGTGGCTGATGAATATCACGATCATTATAACTTTGTGCTTTCCCACTTTTAGCCCATTTTTACTGATGAGTAGATCTTCCACTCTCTCCCGATTCTGCTTTTTTGAATAAAGTATACAGATTCCACTAATGTTACTACAGCTATTTAAATTGTATGCTTTTTCAGAATACACTTTTTAAAAAAGAAAAAAATACAAAAATTTTTTGGGGAAGAGATTTCTTTGCTTAAGATAAATCTCAAATAAACTGGTGAAAACTTTCTAGTAGTGAAGCTTTCATCCAATTCCAGCAAACTCTTAGCATCAAGGTCTTTACATCCTTTATGTGAGATATTCCCAAGCCTGTTCCAGCACTTTAGTGTTTCAAGCCCTTGTTATGGATAAGCTCCAATTCACCTTTCCTGTAGCTGCTCCAGAGTTACCAGCCATAGTCTGCCATGAACCAAGTCATAGCTATACTCTATAACATATGAAAGTCAGAAGCATAACTCTCACAGGACTAAGTAAAAAACATGTGATTAAGAAAGATTTAGGTATCTTCACAAGGTTTGAGTGAAGATTTATAACAGTGCAAGCAAGCCATGTTGCTTTTCTATGTATGCATCAATTATTCAGCACTCTTTTTAGAATAATGAAAAATGTTTTTCTCCTATATTCCTCCAACCCCAACAATGAGACTTTCCCCTCAGTGGAAGATGCTGCCTCTTTTGGTCTTCATTATGGGTAGAAAAGGCGGAGCTCATTTGATATAGAGCAGACAAGTCTGTGGAGTTTCCAAAAGCATTCCAAATTCCCAATATAGTTACAACACTATATTGAAAGTGCCCAAAAGTGGGTGAAGATAAGAAGAGAGCAGATACAAGAGACATTGGAATAAGACATTGAAAAGAGGTGAGATATCATGTGTTATTGTGAAAGTTTCAGAGTTCTTACAGGAGTTAGGTGTAGTAGGAGGTAGTTCTCTCACCTGACAGTTCCCAAATAAGGACTTTGGGAGCACATTCCCCATGGAGGGGTACTCTCTTAGCCTAGAGTCAGGAGGGAGGGCCTAGACCCTACTCAAAATGGCTTGACAGATTTTGATGATCCTTCCTGGAAGGCATCACCCTCCCTGTGGATTGGGTGGGGAATGGGATGGGAGGAGGGGTCAGGGGGCATGGGAGGGAGGGAGAGGGAACTGGGATCAATATTTAAAATAAAAAATAATAAATATATGTAAAATACAAAATTTTAAAGAAAAAAAAGATGGGAATCAAAGAAGCTTGTTATAGAGTTTGCTTTCAACATGGCCGACTGTATTTTGGGCAAGAAACTGCTCTTGCCTGGATTGTTTGACTGTATGATGTATAAACTGGACATGCAGGACCCACAGAAAAGTGACTGCTGAACTTGAAAAAACAAGATGGAGAAGTCCTGCAGACTGCCTTCTTCATTGAAAAGTCTTCCAGATGTTCTTCATGACACAGAGAAAAAATGACTGACAAACTGCCAATACAGATGGGACAGTTTGTAGTTCCCTGCTTCACTGAGCAGTCTGCCAGACACTCTAGGCCTGTAGGCTAAACATGGATGCCCTAACATTACAGAGCAACTTTGGGTGACTGTCTAGGCAATGGGATATCTCTGTCAATTCTAGAGTTTACCTATTATTCTTCTGAGGTCCTTGATGGAGTTGAAAACAGAAACAGCAGGCTTCATTTGGCAAGATTCAGCAGTCTTCTTTAAGCTTATCTCCTGCTAGCCCAGTTAGGACAGCATGTCCAAGGTCAGCAGTCAAGGTAGGGGCAGTTCTTTGCCCAAGAGGCCAGTAGCCGAGGTGAGAGAAAACTCCAGATGGAGTTTCTTTGATGCCTGTCTTCCTTTCCGAAGTAATTGGTGTTACCAGGAGCAGTTCATGTCTCTGTCCTGAAAAACCCTAAACCATTTTAAATGTCTTATTGTGTAGGTCTTTGAAAGGTTTGAATAATACCTATTGATTTGAAATATATCTCTATGAGGTTTGACTAACATAGGTGATTATCTATAAAATATTTAACGATACATTACATTTTGAAATGAGCTGAATAAACACAATAATAAACAAGAGGAGAGATATACATATGACAAAATTGACCTTAAATTTCTGTCAATAAACCAAAATCGATGCCAATACCAAGTTTTCATTTCTATATTATAGTGTATTGGTATTAGCTCTCTTTTGAATTTCTGATAGAATTCGACTGGAAACCAGCACTTTTGATGATTGTTTCTACATCAGTAGGGGTTATATGTCTATTTAAATTGCTTATCTAGTCTTGATTTAATTTTGGTAAATGATATATATCCAGAAAATTGTTCATTTCCTTTAAATTTTTGAATTTTGTGATGTACAGGTTTTCAAAATATGGCCTGATGATTCTCTGGATTTCCTCAGTGTATGTTGTTATTTCTCCCTTTCCAGTTTTGATTTTGTTAATTTGCATATTCTCTGCCTTTTGGTTAGTTTGGATAAAAGTTTGTCTATCTTGTTGATTTTCTCAAAGAACTAACTCTGTTTCATTGAATCATTGTATTGTTTTCTTAGTTTCCACATTATTGATTTCAGCCCTCAATTTGATTATTTCCTGGCATCTATTCCTCCTGGTTGAGTTTGCTTTTTTTTTTTTTTTTTTTATTCTAGAGCTTTCAGGTGTGCTGTTAAATCTGTTATGTGAGTATTCTCCAGTTTCTTCATGTGGGCACTTAGTGTTGCCAATTTTCCTCATAGCACTGCTTTCAAATTGTCCCATAAGTTTAGATATGTTTTGCCTGTATTTTCATTGAATTCTAGGAAGTCTTTAATTTTTTTTCTTCCTTGCTATAGGGGTGATGCATTGTGCATTGTCCAATTTCTATGAATTTGTAGGGTTTCTGTAGTTTGTATTGTTGTTGAATTATAACATTAAGCCGTGGTGATCTGATAAGATACAGGGAGATATTCCAGTTGTTTTGTATATGTTGAGGTTTGCTTTGTCGCTGAGTATGTGGTTGACTTTAGAGAAGGTTCCATATAGTGCTGAGAAGAAGGTATATTTTTTTGTGTTTGAACAGAATATTGTATATGTGTATGTTAAATCCAACTGATTCACAATCTCTGTTAGTTCCTTTATTTCTTTGTTAAGTTCCTGTCTAGCAGTCCTGTCCAGGGGTAACAGTGGGAAGTTGAAGTCTCCCATTATAAATGTGTAGGCTTTTATGTATGATTTAAGTTTTACTGATGCTTCTTTTATGAATATGGGCACATAGCGACTCAGAATTGAGACTTTGTTCTGATGGATTTTTCCTGTGATGAATATGAAATAACCTTCTTCATCTATTTTGATTAGTTTCCATTTGAAATCTTCTTTGCTAGATATTTGGACAACTACCTATATTTTTGTGAGTGTAGCTAACTTTGTTGGGTTAGAATTTTCCTTTCACTACTTTCTATAGGGCTGGATTTGTGGATATGTATTTTTTAAATCTGGTTTTGTCATGGAATATCTTGTTTTCTCCATGTATAATGATGGAGAGCCGTGCTGGGTATAATAGTCTGGGCTGACATCTGTGGTCTCTTAGTGTTTGTAGAACATCTATCCAGGACCTTCTGGCTTTCAGAGTTTCCATGGAGAAGTCAGGTGTAATTTTGATAGGTTTGCCTTTATATGGTACTTAGCCTTTTTTCATTTGCCACTTTTAATATTCTTTATTTTGTATGTGTGACGCTTTAATTATTATGTGGCGAGGGTACTTTATTTGTGGTCCACTCTATTTGGTGTTCTGTAAGCTTCTTGTACTTTCATGGGCATGTCTTTCTTTAGGTTGGAAAAGTTTTCTTCTGTGATTTTGTTAAATACATATTCTGCATCTTTGAGTTGGGTTTCTTCACCTTCTCCACATCTGTTATTCTTAGGTTTGATCTTTTCATGGTGGCCCCTATTTCCTGAATATTTTGTGTTAGGGATTTGTTGGACTTAAGATTATCTTTGGTCAATAAATCTATTTCACCCAGTGTACCCTCAATGCCTGTGATTGTCTCTTCCATCTCTTTTGTTCTGTTGGTTGTGCTTGCATCTGTAGTTCCTGATATTTACCAAGATTTTCTATTTCCAGCATTTCCTCAGACTATGTTTTCCCTTTTTAAATTATCTCTATTTCAGATTTCAAAACTTGCATTGTTTGAATTGTTTCTTGCAATTTTTGGTTTGTCCTTTCTTTTCTTTAAAGGATTTTCTCATTTCCTCTTTAAGGGTCTCTATCATCTTCACAAAATTATTCTTAAGGTCATTCTCTTCTGCTTTGTCTGTATTGGGATGTTCAGGTCTTGCTGGTGTAGAGCCCCTAGACTCTGGTGGCATGATATTGGTTTTTATGTTGTTTAAAGTGTCCTTATATTGTGATATTCCCATTCTTTCTTCCAGTGGATACAGGTGGTGTCTGAGAGATTCTCTTTCCAGGTGGGTTGAGGCAGGGCTAGCACTGCAATGTCAACAGACTCTGGATTGTTTCATTCACCTGGGGTTTGTCAACCTGTCTCTCCTCTGAGTAGGGGCAGGACTAGCACAGTAATGTCAGCAGACTCTGGATTGTTTGATATGTTGGGAGCAAGTCGATCTGCCCAAAATCCCCAGACCAGGAGATCCCAAAGAGGGGAAACATAAGTCAAGCCCGAAACAGGGGCCCATTCTCACCTCCTCTCTGAGTGGGGATAGGACTAGCACAGCCTTGTCAGAAGACTCTGGATTGCTTGGGCCACAGGGGGTGAGTTGACCTGCCTACAGTTACCAGGCCAGGACATCCCAAAGAGCTTAAGGTCACTTTTTATATGCACATTTCTACTTTTATTTAGGTATTGTGTTTATACAGCTCTTTTAAAAATGGAATGTATAATTAAATACAGATTATACGTCATCAAACTTATAGTTTTGTTACTTAGGTTTTCTAGATATACACAGATATATTTCAAATGAATAGGTATTCTTCAAAACCTTTCAAAGACCTATAAATTATGGCATTTAAAATGGTTTATTAGGGGTTTTCATGATAATGAAAACACACACAACTGTTCCTGGCAATTCTATGTGTTTCAGATGAGCACCAACCTCAAAAGCCATT